TTCTTTATGACATGCAATAGTTGAAAAAGCATTTGGTTTTTCAACATGTATTATATATTCTCAATGATCTTATATCATTGGAACTACCGGGATGGCTTAACCAGTTTATTCAATTAGTAACCTTAAGGTTTACTATGGTATATACCCTTGCCATCTTTTTTATTTATTATCACATATATGCATGTCACCATCGCGTGCTCTTGTGGATCATTTTTCTCTTACGGAGCTTCTAGCTCTTCCAGAGCTTTTAGTTCATCCGGAGCTTTTAGCTCTTACGGGACTTTTAGCTATTCTGGAGCTTCTAGCTCTTACGGGCCTTTTAGCTCTTTCGGAGCTTTTAACTCTTACGGGGCTTTTAGCTCTTCTGGAGCTTCTAGCTCTTACGGGCTTTTAGCTCTTCCGGAAATTTCAAAAGAATTTAGCTCTTTTGGAGCCTTTAGTTTTTAGAGCTTTTTAGCTCTTCCGGAAGTTTTCAATTTTAAAGACATATTTCGATGTCTTTAACCCATATTATAATCGATAAAATATATCAGATAGTTAAACATATTAATTCATAATAATAACATACCTGGTATAGCTTCTATAGATTTTGACGACGTCAAGCCTACTATAAAATAAGGAGGAGGCATAATCTTCCACTCCATCATTTTGTGTTCGTGGAGAAGGCTTAACCTTCCACTCCATAAAATTTGATTAAGGAGGAGGATTAAACCATCAACTCCATAATTTTATGATCACAGAAGAAGTTTAACCATTATATTCCATAAATATATAATCAAGGAGGAGGCATAGCCTTCTACTCCATAATATTAGTAGGGAAGAGATTTAATCTTCCACTCCACAAATATAAATTTAAATGTAAAAACATAAATATGAATTAGGAGGAGGATTAACCTTCCACTCCATCATTTTGTAGTCATGGAGGAGGTTTAACCTTCCACTCCATTATTTTGTAGTCATGGAGGAGGCTTAACCTTCAACTCCATTTATAAATTTAAATATATAAACAAAAATTAAATAAGGAGGAGGCATAAACTACCACTCTATAAATATAAACAAGGAGGAGATTTAACCTACCACTCCATAAATATAAACAAGGAGGAGGCTTAACCTGCCACTCCATAAATATAAACAAGGAGGAGGCTTAACCTGCTACTCCATAATTATGATCGGAGGAGACATAGTCTACCATATGATCATATGATCGTGAAAGACATAGCCTATAATAACGATCTGTTCGGGAAAGGCATAACCTATCATCCCGTAAACTTGAAAATAAATTAAACATAAATTTAAATCATCGGTTTAGGGAAGGCAGAGCCTATTATCCCGAAATAATACGTAAACGGAGAAGGCAAAGCCTATCTTTCCGTAATATATAAACAAAGAAAGCATAGCATATCTTTCTGTTTCCGTAAACAATATATAAAGTTTAGATCGACTAAACATAAATAAAATTTTACCTCCAAATATATGAATGAATTACGAGTCGATCGTGCTGATAACGTGTTGGGAATTAAAGCATATATTTATGCATCTCCATATATTATCTCTATATGTTGTATTATATTATATATAGAGATTATGGGAGGAAGAAGAAGTGGGGAGAGACACGAGAGCAAGAGAGGAGAGAAGAGGGAAATCTCTTCTTCTTATTCACTCGTTCTTCTTACATCAATTACAATGTGCAACAATACATATATATAGAAGAAATAAACTCATTAAATAATAAGGAGTAAGTCGGTCAAAATGAAAAGGTGGTGATGGATAATTATCCATAACAGATGTAAATTAATTATTTATTACTTCAATTTTTGTGGGTAATTCCTACAATTTAGAAACAAAATTCAAAACTTTCTAACAAAAAGAATGGCGATAAATCAGCTACGTATATTAAAAGAAAGGAAGGTTCTAACGACAGTTTGACAAATATTTTATCCTAAATTTTGTAAGAAATTTGACAGAAAAATCAACAACATTTTGACAAAATTTTTGTCAGAAAGTTTTGTCAAAATTTGGTTAGACTATACCAAGAAATTTCTGACAAATAATATATCAGTATGTTCCGATGAATTTTTATTAAATAATATTTGTCAAAAAAAATTTCAACGATTTACAAATAAACTCACAATTCCAACGATCAAATTCCAACAAAATTCTCATTTTGTGGGAAATTTATCGGAACTATTGATTTCCAACAAAATATCTATAAATATGTCTGTTGGAATTACTGTTTTTTCTTGTAGTGGAAGACTATGAAGAAAGATAAACAAAAGACGATAAAGAAAAAAAACCAAAAAATAAATAAGAGGAAAAAAGAAAATGATGAAAAACGATTATGTAGAGACGAATAACTCGCTTTTTTTTAGTTCAATTGATTTTGTGAATTTCATACACTTATTTGGTAAGCATTAAGTTTTTAATTTTGGATAATGTTTATTTTTTGGATTTGTTTTATTTTATTATGTATGTCTTAAATTTCTTGAAGACCAGTTTATAACATCAAATTATGCTGTACATTTTAATTTTCTTGAAGACTGGTTTATAACATCAAATTATGTTTTAATTTTCTTGAAAACCAGTTTAAAACTTTTGTGCCCGCGCCTTGCACATAAATGGTGAGTATATTGGTCAAAATGTCTTGATCTCACAAATGTTTTTCTCTTCTACCGAGACAAGGTTTTTTTTTAGAATGAGGCGTAGATAATTCCCTGTAGTCATCGCCTACGCAATGAGTTTCAATAAAAGCCAATGAAAGATTTTGCAAAAGGTAGGACTGTATTTACCAAAACCCGTATTTTCTCATGGATAACTTTATATGGTTATATCGCGTGTTATTTAGAGAGTTGGTTTGAATGGTTGGACATGAGAGACCAGAGCAAGGGACAAAGACAACTTCTCGTCTTAATTTTCCAACTTGCTTTTTACTTATACATACACATTCACGTTACAATTTACATACAACTACAAGTCTATAAAATATATTTATTAGTATAGTTTCATGTTGTGTGATTCTGATTCTGATAACAGATACTATAAGTAAGGTAAGGAAACAATAATTTATTTTATTTATTTTGGTTTAAACCTTTACTAATTAAATGATTTGTTTTAATAACATTTGTTTACTTAAGCTTCGGAATTGATACTCTTTCTCTTTTTTTCTATTAATGGTTGTCTTGATTGTCGAGAGTCGATACTTTTATTAAACATAAAAGAAATCGTGTACAAAATCATAATAGTGTTTTCAAAATACTTACTGAAACAAACTGCAACTTAAAGATGTGCGGTATTGGAATGTTGTACATCAGCAAATATTGATGCACATAACGATAATAACGATAATGGTCACAGTTGACAAAGTGATGACTTTTTTCAAAAATATCATTATCTAACTATCGAAATTTTTATGAGTTTATTAACGATACATATCATAATAACAACAAATACTCTTCAAAATTTTAAATGTTTATATAAGATATAAAATTTTCACCATTAAAAGAAAAATTGTAATCAAATTTGTATACATCGCAAGTCCGCACTTGGTGCAAATCCCCACCTAATTTTAATTTATAATTAAAAATAAAAGATAAAATGCATGATATATTATCTCGTTTTACCTAAAACCTGTGTTTAAAATCTGAACGATATTTTTTCATCATTTGATCAAATGCCAAATTTAAAGAAAAAAACATTTCAAATTATTTGGTAATAAAATTTAACAATTATTTACGTTAAAAAATATTAAAAACCTTTTTTCACGAAATTCAGATCTATACTCTAGTTTAGGAAATGGCTTTTAATATATTTTCTTTGAAAATATATTTCTTCTCCAATGAATTCGAATAAGCCATTTTCAATAGGATGGTAAACAATAAACAGAAAATCCATCAAATTTAACATTTTCCTAATAAAATTTTTGGAAAACGAATTTTCTTATATCTCAAAAGAATTCATATGAAAAGGTTGCAGAAAAAGAAAAGAAAATATATGCATGAAGAGAGTTTTTCCTTTTTTTCTTCCATATAAACTTTTCTATTAAAGCTTCTTTCCCTTAAGTCTATTTTTTAAAATATTTTTGCTACTACAGTACAAAAGTCATATGCACGTATATATTATATATTATTATAAATTAATTAATTCATGTTTTATCCCTAAATGTAATAAGGAAGGCAAAAGTGGCAATCGACGGTGGATTCTGGCTCTTGGCCGCTAAGCAAAAACATCTCGAGATCTGTCTTTCTCTCTCTTCATCTCCGTTTTCTCTGATAATTCGGCAGAACCCAACAAAATAAAATCAAATTTTTGGTTGAGTCCTTTTCTCTTTTTTTATCTATGGAAGATAGTATTGAGAAAGACGCTGATCTACACGAGGAAATCTCCGACAAGTTCTTGTGTTGAGTTAGCCTGTTATCGTTTCAATTTCACACATGATCAAGATTTAAGGTTGGGTACCAGAATGCTTTAAGAATTTGGTTTTTTGAGAAGTTCTATTGGGATCCCATAATAACGGTCCCCATTGTTTGAACAACACGATTTCTGGCCCTATTGTTTCAAACAACTGCCTGCTTATTTGGTAATGGCCCCCCTCCAATTCACTGACGTGGATTTTAGACAAATGAAGAGGGATATTCTCAAAACAAGAAAGTAAAAAGGAAGGGGGTGGGAAAAAAAAACAAGCTACTTGGGCAAAAAATGAAGTACTTTTCAAAATGAAACGACAGGCTGTACCATATGCAGCGAAGTCCTTAGA